CGCACGGGTGGCAGCTGCTTCGGTGCACGGGCGGCAGCGGCGTCGGCGGACGGGCGGCTGCGGGCAACGGGCGTGCGGCAGCTGCGGCGGCGAGCTGCGGGCCTGCGGGGCCACGGCGGGGTGTGCGCGAGCGGGCGACGGGCGGCTGCAGCAGCGGGCGCGTCAGCGAGGCGCACAGGCAGCGCGCGGGCAGCGTGCGGGGCCGCGCGTAAAGAAAACAGCCGCGCGCGTGCGGCTAGCGGGGCGCGCGCAGCGAAATCGACCGCGCGCGGGCGGGTAGCGGGATACGCGCGCTTAAAAAAAAAGAAAAAATCGAGTCGCGCGCGGGCGGCTGGCGGGCTGCGCGCGCGCGGTAGGTAGGAGGCGCACGAGGGCGCGTAGGCGCACGAGGCGCACAGTAGGTAGGTAGGTATGTAGGTAACGGTGGGCCCTAAGAACGGTCCTAGCGAAGGACCTGCTCTGAAACCATGTCAGAAATAACGGACTGGAATGACTGTACTAACAGAAGGATGGATACAAATAGGAAACCCTAATCCAGTGTACCCCCTAAGGTATCACCCACTACAGCCTACAATCATATAAACATATAATGTTTGACAGTTTCTCGGTTTCGGATTCGATGGGCGCACTTACTCCTTTCGTTCATTGCCGTTCGGTCTTGCGACAGCCCCATTCGTCTTCACGCAACTCATCAAGCAGCTAGCCCGTCGCTGGCGAGAGCAAGGCATTCGAGTAGTACCATACGTGGACGACATCTTATTCCTTTGCCAGTCAAAAGCCCACGCACAGGTCACGTGCCACCGTGTGATACTGGACCTTAAAGCAGCGGGTTTGGTGATAAATGCAAAGAAATCACAACTGTCACCATCGCAACACCTTCGATTCTTGGGTGTGGAGCTAGACACGGTCACCGGCCGATTTACCATCGGTCCCGAACGACGAGCCTCACTTCATGCAACCATTCGGAACCTGTTGAGCGCAAGCAAGGCCTGTCGACCCGTCTCAGTTCGCCAAGTGGCCAGAATCACAGGCATGCTCGCGTCAATGGGCGTCGCGCTGGGTGCAACAGCTCGTGCCTTCAGCCACGCCATGCTACAAGTGATCAATGACGCACCTTCATGGAAAAGCAGCGTGATCATCCCCCCACCTGCGGCTGAGGAGCTAAACTTCTGGCTCGAAGAGTTTGATCGGTTCAACGGTGCGCCGTTTCACGTTCGAAACAGCTACGATGCTGTAATCCATGTGGACGCTAGCGCTCACAGTTGGGGCGCCACTTTGACCACCTTCCCTGGCGGCCTCGAAGAAGCCAGCGCAACAATGCCAGAGCCACTGCAAGCGACGTCCAGCACACGGAGGGAGATCGAAGGAGTGCTTTGGGCACTCCAAACATACTCCAGCAAGATCAGACACAAACATGTTCTTGTGCGGGTGGACAATCAGGGCGTCTTCTTCATCCTTCGCAAAGGTGGCTCGCGCAGCCCCGACCTTACCACGGCCTGCCAAGCCATCATTCGGATATGCATGGAGCACGGCACGCGTCTAATCATCGAATGGATCCCACGCGAGCTAAACTCACACGCTGATGAGCTCTCAAAATCAGTCGATCATGACGACTACTCGTTGAAGACGCCGTGGTTCCGCATCTTAGAACGACGTTGGGGTCCCCATTCCATCGACCTCTTTGCAAATCCCCGCAACTCTCAGCTGCCACGCTTCTGCACGAAAATTCCTCACCCACTAGCCACCGCAGTAGACGCATTTTCGCTCGCCTGGACAGCAGAAAATAGCTTTGCTTTCCCCCCGCCCCACTTAGTACCGGCCGTCCTCCATCACGCACAACGCACCCATGCATCGCTCACACTGATCATCCCACACTGGCCGGGTGCAAACTGGTGGCCACTCATACAACCTTCCCCACGAAACTGGGCACCGTACATCCACGCGCACATTCCCTTGACACACGGCAGCCAGTGCCTGGCAGCGGGAACACATTCCACTGCCTTTTCAGGCACCGGATTACCACACAGCCCAATGATCGCACTTCGGGTGGTATTTGACTAATTGAGAGCGTACGTGCCTTGTGTCCAGATCTGCTACCAAAGCTACACAACCAACTCATCAACATGCTCACACATCGCGAGCGAATTCGACGATCCGTACATACGAACCGTACTGGACCAAGTTTCGGGCCTTCTGCACAAAGGTGGATCTTCCCTTTCTTCCCGCGTCCGACATGGCCCTCGCGCTATACTTGGTGCACGCAATCCAACGCAAAGCAACCTTGTCTGTAGTACAGCTCACGTGCTCGGCAGTCAGCTTCGCCCATCGCATGACTGGAAGCAAATGCCCGACTGTCGGACCGTTCACCACCCAAGTGCGGGACTACGCGAAGAGACACTGCCCTCGCCCTAGTCGTTTGAAGGAGCCTGTATCAATCCAACAAGTTCGGGACATGTCCGCGAACTACTTGCAGTCGGCCAATCCTGCTGAATTTCAGAAGGGGTTGATCCCTATCCTCATGTACTCCGGATTTTTACGCTACTCCGACCTGGTTGCCGTCTAGTGGCAAGACATCCAATTCGACGACGAAGTCATGTGGATCCTCATCCCACACTCCAAAACGGACCAGTTGCAATTAGAACGATGCCAAATTATAAGGACAAGAAAGCAAGCTTTCTCAATATTATAATTTTTAAACACATTGATGTTTTCAAAATTGTGTATTGTGAAAGCGAAGCTTGCCTGCCTACCGAATATTTGGCAGCGTCGAAGCGCGCTAAACGCCCTTCTCCAACTACAAAAACCGTGGGTTGGAGTTCATTCCCTCCACCCACGTTTCTCGTTTTTCAACGGCTCAATCAACATCCCCACCACCCACCCCGGACCAACTACAAGACCACTGCTGCTTGGACGGACGACTCTATAGCTAGTAATATTTGTATGTACTAGCATGTGTTTAAGAACGTTGCATATGTTGTAATAAGCCAGTTGCAATGAGAACGATGCCAAATTATAAGGACAAGAAAGCAAGCTTTCTCAATATGAATAAAGTTCAGCCTTGTATGAATTATCACTATCTTCCTATCCCCCATCCCCCCCCCCCCTCCCCCCCCTCCCTCCCTCCCTCCTCTCCCTCCCTCCCTCCCTCCCTCCCTCCCTCCCTCCCTCCTCCCTCCCTCCCTCCCTCCCTCCCTCCCTCCTCCCCCCTCCCTCCCTCCCTCCCTCCCTCCCTCCCTCCCTCCCTCCCTCCCTCCCTCCCTCCCTCCCTCCCTCCCTCCCTCCCTCCCTCCCTCCCGCCCCCCTCCCTCCCTCCCCCCTCCTCCCTCCCTCCCTCCCCCCTCCCTCCCTCCCTCCCTCCCTCCCTCCTCCCGCCCTCCCCTCCCTCCTCCCTCCCTCCCTCCCTCCCCCCCCTCCCTCCCTCCCTCCCTCCCTCCCTCCCTCCCTCCCTCCTCCCTCCCCTCCGCCCTCCCTCCCTCCCTCCCTCCCTCCCTCCCTCCCTCCCTCCCTCCTCCCTCCCTCCCTCCCTCCCTCCCTCCCTCCCTCCCTCCCTCCCTCCCTCCTCCCTCCCTCACACCCCCTCCCTCATCTCCCTTCTCTGCCAAACAAAAACAACGAATGCAGCGCACGCGCCCTGCACAGAGCAAAAACAGAGAATGCAAAGCACGCGCCCTGCACAAGAAAAAGGGCAAAAACAAAGAATGTTCACACACTGTACAAAAAAATCAATAAAACGCATAATGCTTCCTTGCGAGGAGGCCAAGCAGGAAATTTGACAAGCAATGGAAATTTGACAACTCACAGAGGTAAAATGGTGTGGCACCACAGTACTACGCCAACATGATGCAATACATAGTAGCCACCCTCACGTTCAACTTCACAATCACGCTCGCACTCATTCCTGTACTCAATCTTGCACCCAGTCACACACAGACACACAGATACTCTTCGACACTCTCTCAGAAACGAACAAACAAACCTACACGCCCTCTCACGCGCTCTCTCACACGCTCTCTCTCACACACTCCCTCGCGCACTCTCATGCGCACTTTCACACGCTCTCTCCACGCTCTCTCACGTGCTCTCTCACGCGCACTCTCACGCGCACTCTCACGCGCACTCTCACGCGCTCTCTCACGCGCTCTCTCACGCGTCTCTCGAGCGCTCTCTCACGCGCTTACTCACGCTCACTCTCACGCGCCCTCTCACGCACCCTCTCACGCGCTCTCTCACGCGTTCCCTCACCTGCCCTCTCACGCGCTTTCTCACGCGCTCTCTCACCTGCCCCCTCACGCGGCCTCTCACGCGCTTCCTCACCTGCCTCTCACGCGCTCCCTCACCTGCCCTCTCACCTCTCACGCGCACTCTCACGCAAACACGCACTGTCACGCGCTCTCTCACGCGCACTCTCACGCGCTCTCTCACACACTATCTCACGCGCTCTCTCACGCGCGCACTCTTACACGCTCTCTCACACGCACCCTCACGCACACTCTCACGCGCACTCTCACGCGCTTCCTCACGCGCTCGCTCATGTGCGCTCTCACGCGCACACTCACGAGCACTTTCACGCGCACTCTCACACGCTCCCTCACGCGCACTCTCACGCGCTGCCTCGCGCGCGCTCTCACACGCGCTCTCACACTCTCCCTCACGCGCTCTCTCACGTGCGCACTCTCACGCTCACTAACACGCGCACTTTCACGCGCTCTCTCACATGGCCTCTCACGAGGCCCCCTGGCGCCAGAGCGCTAAACGCCAGCGCGTTAGGCACCAAGGCCCAAGGCACCAGCGCACTAGGCATCAGCGCGCAATGCGCCAGCGCGTTAGGCGCCAGAGCGTTAGGCGCCAGCGCGCAAGGCGCCAGCGCGCAAGGCGCCAGCGCGCAAGGCGCCAGCGCGCAAGGCGCTAGCCCGCACGGCGCCAGCGCGCACGGCGCCAGCGCGCACGGCACCAGCGCGCAAGGCGCAGCGCGCAAGGCGCAGCGCGCAAGGCGCCAGCGCTCAAGGCGCCAGCGCGCAAGGCGCCAGCGCGCACGGCGCCAGCGCGCACGGCGCCAGCGCGCACGGCGCCAGCGCGCACGGCGCCAGCGCGCACGGCGCCAGCGCGCAAGACGCCAGCGCGCAAGACGCCAGCGCGATAGGCGCCAGTGCGTTAGGCGCCAGCGCGCAAGGCGCCAGCGCGTTAGGCGCCAGCGCGCAAGGCGCCAGTGCGCAAGGCGCCAGCGCGAACGGCGCCAGCGCGCAAGGCGCCAGCGCGCACGGCGCCAGCGCGCACGGCGCCAGCGCGCACGACGCCAAGGCTTTAGGCACCAGCGCACTAGGCGCCAGCGTGCTCGTTCGCGTGCGAACTCTCTCACTCGCTCTCCCTCTCTCCCTCTTTTCAATTGGTATTGTAATGCAAAAGGAGATCAATCGACACACAAAAAACTTACGAAAAACGTACGAAAGTAAATGAATTTCTTCGAGAGGAGGAGGAGAAATGGACCGGGAAAGGACAACGCACCTGAAAATTACGGTGCCTCAGGGGTCGATCCGCGCTCGCCCACCAGCTCGCGCTCGTGCAGCTGCTGTCAGCGGCGACGGCGGGACGAGCGGGGGAGGCGACGACGGCGGGGTGGGAGGGAGCGGCGACGGCGGGAGGAGGGAGCGGCGACGGCGGGAGGAGGGAGCGGCGACGGCGGGAGGAGGGAGCGGCGACGGCGGGAGGAGGGAGCGGCGACGGCGGGTGGGAAGGAGAGGCGACGGCAGGTGGGAGGCGACGGCAGGTGGGAGGCGACGACGGGTGGGAGGGAGAGAGGACGGCGTGGTGGGAAAGAAAAGACGGTGGGGTGGAGGTAGAGGTTATGACGCGCTGGGTGGGTGGGTGGGAGAGGCAACAGGTGGGGTGGGATTGTCACGTGAAAACACACGCACAATCACATGGCATTGACTGGGCTAAAAACAACTCACTAAAAAAGTGCAATGTAACAATACAAAGCATCATCTCTAAGGAAAGAGAACATCATTGTTCACTATATAAAGAAACGGTCAATGTGTCTAGACCTTAACGTAATAGAAACATCAATGTTTAAAAATCATAGAGATCCACGCTGAAACGAATACATTGCACCATCAAAAACCGCTTGCCGTATTCTTTAATACGGTAGACCAAAATTTGGCGCTAAATAAGAAAAAGAAACAGCATTTCCTCTTTTCTTTTTCTTGTCAACAAGGAATGTACGGTAACATCTACGCAACCCTTCCGACGTTAACGTCGAGTCTTGTATATCATGCTCAGAATGATCAACCCATTACCTCGAGCACCATCCTAGCATATACCTATTACATCTTCGTTATTCGTTTTCCGCGCAATTCTGTTTTACAACCATAACACCCGATGTGAGTTTTAGCGAGAACACGGGATTCCAGCTAAGTCGCACGCCGCCCACAGTGACGTGACATGGCACCATCTATCGCCGAGCCGCAGATGAAGGACGTTTGGGAACATGGTTGGGCCCTGCGACAGGACTAGAGTGGGCTCCACAAGGCAGCATTCAACAATGATAGTGATACGATCAAGGCTGGCATGGCGGGACCTTCGTAGCCTGGAACTCATCGCGCGTGAAGCCTACGTGTCATCTGGCTTTACGAACAACAGTTTCCGATTCGCCTCAATAAGACGAAGAGATTGGTGCATTCTAGGTGTTCAACAGACGAACATTATATCTTTCTCGGAGTCATACCTGTTGATATCTCAACTATCGATTGTAAAGGCTCTTTACATCAGCGATCAATTACCAAGGTTCTTACAACACATCAATAACAACGCGACATGCTGTCGACGAGAAAGACACCGCCCTCGCTTGGGCGCAGCCGATCTCGCCGTCGACGAGAAGTTCGCGACGGATTGGTCGACGAAGTGTGCTTCTGCAGTTCGACGGAAGTTGCGGTCGAGCAATCTCTGCTCGACAGAATCTGGTCGACGAGCTCTGCGCGACGAGCTCTGGTCGACGATCTCTGCGCGACGAGTTCCCGTCGAAGAGCGCTGGTCGACGATCCTGGTCGAAGAGCTCTGGTCGAAGAGTTGAGCTGATCGACCGAAGTTGCAGAGTTGTGCGAAACTCTGCGAAGGCGTGCGAACTTTCGCCCAGGAGGTTTTGGCGAAGTTCTACCTGCGGAACGGCATCACGTGGTCGACGGTGCGCACCTGGCGAAACCGACGACACGTTTTCTACCTGGCACCTGCGCAATGTGCCTGACGGTGAAACCACCAACCTGCACCTACTTGGTAGGTGCGCACATCTGCGCAGATAGACAACCTGCGACTGCAGATAGTTACCTGCGACTGCAGATAGTCACCTGCGACTGCAGTGCTGGCAGACCGCGCGCAGTGCAACGCTGGCAGACTACTCTGCTGCAGCGTTGGCAAGCCGCTCTTCTGCTGCGCTGGCAGATTTCGCCCTTGCTAGGTGTTGCATGTTGATTGTGTAGGTGGTTGTGGTATTTTGCTCTAGCTGGTTGTGGGCTAAGGGTTTGGGCAAAATGTGGTGGTTGGACTTGTTGCGGGCTGGATTTGAACTCGCACCCAACAAGCACCAACAAACCTTTGTTACCAACTACAACACCTTTGGTGTTGCTAGTTTGGCACTTTAAGGTGTTGGGGATTGTTGTAGGGCGAGGGTTGGGTTGGTAGGGTTTCACCAACTCGTCACTTTTCAGATCTGAACTCTTGCTAAAGCTACTTTCTAGATCTAATCCATGGCTGCCAAGTAATTCCGTCAGGATACCCCGTCGCACATAAATCGCGATAGCGATCGGCCTAGATCTTGGTTGAAGGCGTGCTTTACCATTCTGGAAAGTAGAGATTAAGACCTTTCTAACGCGTACCTGCTCATCGTTCTAGGTTACGTGAGCTGCACGCAATGTTTCGCCGAAGTCGGCGGACATAATCTCTTGTTACGCTCTCCAGATTCGCACGCTTTCCATCAGTGGTATCAGAGCTGGTTAGGCCAGCGACACTCCCTCCTAGTATCGTATTTCGAATTGGCTTAAGAACCTCCAGATCTAGGGTTGGTCATGGCCCAGAAATTAGATGGCCCTCCTAGGTTCACCGGCTCGGATTTTTCGCTATGGCGGTTTTAGTTTACGCTTTGGCTAGGTATTAAGGACCTAGAGGGCGTTTTGGAGGGATCGGAGCGAAGACCTGAAGCTGATGAAGGGAAGGCATCTACTGGAGTCTCTAGCCAAGTGGGAGAAGGGGCTGGGGGAGCCTCTAGCTCATCCACAACTGAGGGAAGTGGAGGTGGATCAGCAGCACCGCGAACCGGAAGGCAACGGCTTAGTGCGGAGGAGCTTATCAAGGCACAGGAAGCATGGGACCGCAAGGACAAGCAAGCGTTCCAGTACCCGTGTTAAGCCTTGGAAGGCCAACTAGAGCTCCTAAAGATGCTGATTGACCTGAAGGGGAAGCAAGGTGCAGCTGCCCAAGCATGGAAGAGAGTTCAAGATCGGCACTTGCAAAAAGGGCTGCTAAGCATACTCACCTGGAGGAAGCGGTTTTACACCATGGAACGCAACTATGGTGATGGGGAGACCATGGTGCAGTATCTCCAGAGGGTGGATGAGTATGTGAGTTAAACTACACTGTAGATGAGAAGGAGATCATCTACACCGCACTCCAGGGGCTGGACCAAGAGGCGAACGAGGCCCTACTGCAGTACCTTCACCTTGAGCAACAGAAATGGACCAAGGCCTGGATATGGGAGGTGTTGGTCTCTGATGAGGCTCGCAAGCGGGATGCTGGTAGAGGAGTTGAAGGGGGAATGGGGGCAGGTGATAGGGCTGCCTCCAAGAAATACCAGCAGCGGCAAGGAGGTGGGGGGAAGAAGAAGGAGCTCGACAAGTGCCTCGTCCCTGGATGCAACCGGAAGCACTCTTGGAAGGAGTGTTGGAGCCGACCAGATGGGTGGAAGCCTCAAGGGTACCCAGGAGAGGCTCCACCTGTCACTAGGCCTGAGTGGGTGGAGAGGAGGATGAAGAATGGAGCATGGAACAAGAAGGGCAGCAAAGAGAAAGCGGCAGCAGCGGCGGCAAACGAGGATAAGAAGGGAAAGGAGGACTCATCGGATGATGGCTTCGCCTTCTTATCCTTGGCGACAGAGACGGCGCTTGCTGGTCATACGTTAGCTGACCCCAATCAGCTCATTCTAGACTCCGGAGCAACCTGTGGAATGGTACCACGGCGCGACCTCTTCACCATCTATCACTCCCTCCCACCTAACTCCAGAAATGTGATTGTGGGGAGCGGAGATGCGCTACAAGCAATCGGCATCGGCACCATCACCGTCAAGGGGAAGGAGGGGGAGGTGGGTGAAGGGTGTGCTTCATGTTCCTGAATTGGCAGCCAACCTTCTCTCATGCTCTCAGCTTGCGAAGCAAGAATACATATGCACCTTCACCATGGAAGGTGGCACGGTTTGCAAGGGTGGAGCTGTGGTGATGGAGGCCAAGTTAGAGAAAGGTCTATACCTTGTTCCAGTTTGTGTGCCTCAGGTGGAGAGGGCACATGGTGTTGAAGCCAATGAAGCCGCTTGTAGCACCCGTTGGAGGGACGTGGAGCAGGTGACGGCAGATTTGCTGCACCTACGCATGGGGCATGCGGGGAAGCAACAGCTTGTGGAGTGTGTGAAGAAGGGGGAGCTGAAGGGTGTGGAGATCAAGGAGGGTGGTGGGCAGCCAAGCAAGTGCCCTGATTGCATTACCGGGAAGCTGCCAAGGACCTCCTTTCCAACCTCCACCTCTCGGGCCACCGCACCTCTTGAGTTGGTGCACACGGATGTATGTGGCCCCATGCAAACACCGGATAGGGAGAAGGGCAGCAAATACTTCATCACATTCCTAGACGACTACAGCCGCATCAGTTGGGTCACCTTGGTGAAAACCAAGGATGAGGTGGCCAAGGTGTTCAAGCGTTGGATACGCTATGCGGAGAGGGAAGCCGGGGCCAAGGTGAAAATACTACGGTCTGATCGGGGTGGGGAGTACATGGGGAAGGATCTGGAGTCTTTCCTTGAGGATAAGGGCATCACCCACCAACTTTCAGTTGCCTACACGCCGCAGCAAAATGGGGCAGCGGAGCGGCTTAACCGGACCCTCATTGACCTTGCCCGAGCCATGCTTGCTCATGCGCAGCTGGACCATACTTGGTGGGGGGCAGCAGTGCAATATGCCAACTGGGTTAAGAACCGGATGGGCAGCAAGGGGCTAGGGGGCAAGAGCCCATACTTCATGTGGACCAGGAAGGTGCCTAGTGTGTCCATGGCACGAGTCTGGGGGTGCATGGCGCAGTACAAAGTGCCCGACCAGCAACGGAGGAAGCTGGATCCCAAGGCACAATGGGGCATTTTCCTTGGGGTGTCAGAGAGGAGCAAGGCATGGGTGTTGTGGAGTGTGGCGGATCAACGGGTAGTGGAAAGCCGGGATGTGGTTTTCCATGAGGGGCTGAGCTACAAGGGGTGGAAGGAGCATGGTGCTAGTACAGTTGGGAGCTCCCTCCAAGATCCCTACACCTCTTCCATTTTTGAGGGGACATGGGAGGACCCTGGAGAGGAGGTAGAGGAGCAGCAGGAGGAACACAAGGCAGCTGCACCTCACCATGAGGATTCCCCAACTGCTGGTTCCACCCCTGACCCTAACAAACCAGCCCATGAACCGCAGCAGCCTCAAGAGCAGCAGCAGCAGCAGCAGCAACAGCAGCAGCAGCAGCCGCAGCAGCAGCATACACCGCCAGTTCCTGTGGGAAGGTGGCAGCAACTATTGCAGCAGCAGCTATCCAAGTCACCACGGTCCCCCATGAAGAGAGTGACTTGGAAGGAGAAGCTGCAAAGTTTGGAGCAGGGGGAGGCATCACCTCTGCGCCGCACCACACGCATCTCCCGGCCACCTGAA